TTCAAAATCTTGAACCGAGTGCTTGAGATTGCTTTTTTTCCAGATTTCGTGGAAGCAATCGATCCATTCACAATACAATGGACGATGTTGAATACGCGGCGCGTTCTGGGGCAACTGCTGAGACCCATCTCTCTGAAGAACGATCATGATGCATAAGCGGGATTATATGCGCACCACATTCAAACAATTTTTTCTCGAGCCAAAGCTCGAGTGCATGGCGCAATCTGAAGTAGGGCTTTCCAAAAGTTTAAAAGCATATTCTTATAGAACTCGACGAGCTGAGTTCAATGCTTTTTTCAGATTTTGAAAATCTTCAATTTTGAACCGAGTTATAACGAAAAAACGAAAAAAACGCGAATTCGCGTTTTTCGCGTGTTTTTGACGTTTTTTACGGCGAGTACCGTATGAGTCAATCGGCTAGTACATTAGTGATATCGAAGACTAACGCCAAGAAAAATTGTGCAGGAACAAATATGTTCCCTTGCTTTTCTTCTTAGGAAGCTGATTATGAAACCTTTTACGTTTGGCTTCAATTGGCGACCGTGACTATGATTTCAAGAGCATGAGGCTCACAGAATATGGATAGCCCTGCCTAGATTAAAGGCGGATTTTACGATGAGGCAGCCTATTGAGTTAGAGATGGTTAGTGATGCCCGAAAGAACAAAAAAAAACGAGAAAAATGACCAAAAATCAAAGAAATGGGACCCTTTACTTGCTCGTTGCCTAAGCATTTATGCGACTCTCATCGGTGCTGCCTCTTAAAGGCAAAGTTCGGGCTCAGACCCACCTAAGAAGCCCTTACCATGGCTAGAAGTGCTGGGCACGCAAGTGCAAAGTAGCGCCACCTTTCTACATCGAAACGCGTCACTAGGACCCTAGGCGCCATGAACTTCTAACAGACTCCACCAAACTTAACATGGTCCGCCCACCGATATCTTGTCTGCGTCGCTGCGTTGTGCTATGCTCTCTCTTCTCGGACTTCTCTACCGCTCTCCGCGCTCACATTATCTCTCATCTCCCTGCCTGTCTTTTGAACTTCTCCACAGCATAGAGCAAAATGCTCGTATTTCCTGTGTATTTCAGGATTTTCTTTCCTTTTTTCTCCACTGGCGGTCCACCTCTCATCCCTACTTTCACATTTGAGTGGAATCAACCCATCAATGTAATCCTGATTCTTTCTTGCCTTTAAAAGCTAATGCTCTCCCTCCGCACCCTTAGGGGTCTGCCTTTCTCTGCACTAGGTAAGTTTCTCCTTCTTTGTCACTCGTCCTTGTCGTGGAATCTTCCTTCAGGGAGTGCTTGAAATTCACGTGTTAATCATATGAAACCCTACTATTTCGTTCATACGTCTCCGAATAACTGGCAGCAAATGAATATGTAAGTCAATCAGCTAGTACATTAGTGAAACCAAAGACTATTGCTAAGAAAAACTGTGCAAGAACAAATTTGTGTTACTATGAATGAATGCGGGGCGGAAGTGGTGTAGTGACAAGTGGCGCGCTTACCACGCGAGCGGTCCGGGGATCAAATCCTGGGTCGTGAGTCGCCCGGGCCAACCAAGCCTTCCATCCCTCCGGGGTCGGTTAATTGGTACCAGACTTGTCTGGGAGGATAAAAACACTGACTTGTACATCGGCTGGCCCCCGCAAGTCATTGTATAGGCCACATCGCATTCAAACGCCACTACGAATGTACAAATGGAAGTAGAATGCGTGCCGCATCCCAAAAAAGGGATTGATCAACGGCAAATGCTTTATCCTTTATTTACGAATGAATGCAGATAGGCCGAGGGTCGAGCTGGAGTTACATTCATTAATCAAAGGAATTTCTGTATTCCCTGCTTTTTTATTAAACGTCTTGTAAAGATGAAATGTTGAGCTATAATTAGTAGAGGAGTACTGTGACAATTTGGACGACATTCTTGTTTGTTTCATAAGTTTTCTTTAGCAGCGCTACAAATAAATAAATGAGCTAACACACTCCTATAGAAATAATGAAGTAACGAAATGTTTCAAGCATCAGCAAACGCTTACCTGGCCACTGCAAACGCCAACACCCAGCCATTTCACAAGATTTTGGTGATTCACTGAGATATGATTCAAAATTTTGAACTCCCGCCGAAGTAGCCCTATGCCTTCTGAAACAAGAAAATGGCATTCACTAAGCTAGTGGTAAACGAACTTGAATAATTGAGATATGAGCTATGTACTTACGTTGAGAGTATTTGATGGCGAATGTCTGTTCGGTAGCTGGTAAGACCACGTGTTTTGTAGTCCATAATGAAAACGGACTTCTTCTGACCCGTCGAGTGACAATCAAGCGATCGTGCGGCACTCTGTAGAAGAACTTTGCTTTTTCACTTTTGTATGAGTTCATCAGTCTAAGAAATTTGTAGAACTACGTACGCCAACGTATTCGACTTGGTGCTGGACAACGAGGTGATTATGGAGGCGGCCAAGCATCCCCCGGAGCACGTTCCTGCTTGACATGGCTGAAAGAAAACGTTTAGAATTCCCCCCAGTTACGTCCAACTGAAAACCGCTGAAGAAGGACCGATTTGATTCAGAGTTGGCCAAAGTTTGAAATACAGTGAGGAGGTCAAAGCATCACCAAGCTGTTCCAAGTTCAGGGGTCCTCTTGAGCAAGTCAACTGGTTACAAGCATTTCAAAGAACAGAATGCATCAGAACATTTGGGTGACTGTGGGTATCTTTCAAATCTAGAAAATGCCAAGACTGGCTCTTGGAGCCCTTGTGAGATATGGCCTCGCCTTTAATTCAGTAATGAACCCCATAAACAGTTCTAGACAAAGTATGGTTGTTAAAAAGTCTTCGAAAAAGTAGTAATCAGATAAAAATTACATTATGTGTGAGCCGCGGTGTACCAATCGTATCGTACTCGGTATCGTCTGTCGTTGGAGTAATAGGAAGTGCTTTGAAGCAGTCATCGCCATCTGACGTCTCCGTTGTAGAGTTCTGCAAACAACAATCTCACCTACACTCACAAGAACCTTTTTTTCGAATTTATTGCTCACTGTTTTGACAATGGGAGTTGAATTCACCGGTGTCTCACTGTCGTCGCTGAACGAAAGTCGAACCATGTTCAGTGTTCGCATCGGGCATCGTTCTTTCAGTACTGCAAAGTAAATGGAAGTATTGGGTGAAAGAACAGGAAGTGAATGGACACAACTGATTGATCAATTTCCGTACGTGCCTCTAAACGCGAATGCTACATTGCACATTGGAGTAATGGCAAACAGGGTCAACCATCCGTTTGAGTGGCCCCATCAAGGGAGAGGGGAGAAGAAAGAAGGTTCCTACGTGTGATTTTCTACTGATTTCGTATAAGAAGCTTTTAAAGGGGGGGGGGGGGGGGGGGGGGG